AAATGATATTTTGTATCTATATGTTTAGTCCTGTTGTGATGGATTGGATTAAGTGCTATTTTATGTGCACTCTGACTGTCACTAAAAATAATAACTCTGTCTTTCGTTCCTATTATTTCGGAAATAAATCTTCGAAGAAACGTGGCTTCCTTGGCAGCGCTTGTGAGGGCCATATACTCTGCCTCAGTAGATGAGAGAGCAACTGTTGCCTGCTTCTTACACTCCCAAGAAATTGGTCCACCGGCCAAAGAAAAATAGAACCCGGTATAAGAACGTCGATCAACTGGACAATTTGCCCAATCTGCATCTGTATGCCCATGTAAATAGTCGCCGGTCTTTCTGTAAACTATGGAATAATCAATAGTACCCTTTAAATATTGGAGAACCCTTTTTCCGGCTAGCCAGTGCGTTTTGTCAAATTTAGTGTTGAATTGACTCAAATAGCTTGTTGCATAGGCTATGTCCGGTCGAGTATTAACAGATAAAAACATTAAACAACCTATCAGATTTTGGTAAGGATACACAGAAGATTGTTCACCCTTATCATATGGTTTTAATTTATAATTTTCTAGAGGAGTAGAAACTGATTTGCAATCCTGCATATTGAATCGCTTTAAAGTTTCCAAAATATATGTTTTTTGATTAATCTTTATCGAATTACCATCACGTTTTACATTTAAACCTAAACAATATTCAAGATTTCCCAATACTTTTATTGAGAAATATTTGTTTAACTCTTTTTTAACAAATTCAAAAGAATTGTTTTCCTTATAAAAAATTATAAGGTCATCAACATAAACTGCCAGTATAAGTAGGTCTTCATTAAACCTTTTAGTGTAAACACAAGGTTCTGAAGGAGTTTGTAAAAAACCCAAAGAAGATAAAGTTTCATTTAGTTTTATGTTCCATGAGCGTGCTGCCTGTTTCAGCCCATAAAGAGACTTTTTCAGCAAGCATACCTTATCTTCTTCTCCTTGTTTGATAAATCCTTCAGGTTGGGCCATATAGACTTTCTCCTCCAATTCTCCATTTAAAAATGCTGTATCAACATCTAAGTGCTGCATTTTTAAATCCCTTTCTGCAGCTAAAGCTATAAGCGTACGAAGGGATGAGTTGCGAACCACTGGAGAGAAGGTCTCATAGTAGTCGACACCAGCAATTTGACTGAAACCTTTAGCAACGAGTCTGGCCTTGTATTTAACTATTTGGCCTTCAGCATTTTTCTTGAGTTTGTAAACCCACTTGCAAGGAATAACCTGTTTATTAGGTCTGTCCACAAGCATCCAAGTTCCCTTATTTATTAATGAGTCATACTCATCTTTCATTGCAGAATACCAATACTCATTATCTTTTGAATTAACAGCTTCTGCAAAATATTGGGGCTCATTAAAATATTCGCACGCTGTGACATTATTACAAAATAAATTCACATCAATGCGGTTAGCTATTCTGTTTCTGAGTGGATATCTTTGTCCTGCAGTTTCTTTATCAGAAATATATTCCTCAACTGTTGAAGATTCTTGAGGATCCTCGCAGATATCAACCTCTGCTATACTTGGACCAGCTATTGGTTCTGGTACAATAGAATCATTTGCGGTTGGATCTGATGAATGAATCAAAACTGAGGATGCAGGTACGGGCTCTAGTAAATGCTTTGCTGAGCTGCACTCTGGGTTTGAAAGCTTTAAATCAGAGAAGGAGTTTTCAAAGAAAACAACATCCCTTGCTTTAGTTAATCTTCTTGGAGAACAAAGATCACGAAAATAGTAACTTTTTGGATCATCTGTATATCCAACGAAAATATGTTGAAGAGATTTTGGATCTAGCTTCTTCCTAGAACTAGATTGAATCTGAACTAAAGATCGACACCCAAAAACTCTCAAATGAGATAAGTTGGGTTTTCTATCATACCACCTCTCAAATGGTGTTTGACCATCTAGGGCTCGATGTGGAGACCTATTTTTTAAGTACGTTGCAGTTTCCACAGCATCCTGCCAATATGCTTTAGAGAGATTGCTATCTGAAAGCATAGAGCGGGCCTTTTCTATGATAGATCTGTTCGTCCTTTCAGAAACGCCGTTCTGCTGGGGACTATATGGAACTGTAGTCTGATGTTGAATCCCTAATGACGCTAGATAATTTGAGAATTCTTTATTAACATACTCAGTCCCATTATCAGACCGCAATACTTTAATTTTTAATCCCGTTTCTCTCTCAACCATAGACTGAAAAATACAAAATTTATTCTTTACTTCAACTTTTGAAGAGACAAAATAAATAAATACCATCCTGGAAAAATCATCTATGAATAATAAAGCATATTTATTACCTTGAAAGGAGTTTTGTGACATAGGACCACAGAGATCCGAGTGTATCAGTTCTAATTTGGAAGTAGCTTTCTTATAAGTAATTTTCTTAAAAGGTTTTCTCGACTGCTTACCTTCAATACAAGCGATACAGGGTTCCTTATCAACTTCCGCATAATCTATGCCAAGAGCATTACCTTTCTTAAGTGCGTCCAGCCCTATACGACACAGGTGACCTAGACGTTTATGCCAGAGTTTATAATCAGCACAATCGTAGTGCACATCGAAAGCTGTTAGTGTTTTAGGTAGATTTACAGTACAATCTAAAGTGTACAATCCATCACAACAGGAACCGTGTAAAATAGCATTACCTGTACAAGAAAAATTATCAGAATTATAAAAGTTACAACCATTTTTATCAAAAACAATAATAAAATTCCTTTCAGTAGCCTTTTTAACAGATATCAGATTAGAATTCAAGTTCGGTATATAAACAACATCTGAAATTTTATTTACACTTGCACCTGAAATAGAAACATTACCAATACCTTCGCAATTCAATTGGTCTCCGTTAGCAATGGTCACCCTACCCTTTGATAATGGCTTAAGGTTTTCCATCCAGTCGAACCTGGAACACATGTGAGTAGAAGCACCTGAGTCAATATACCATTTGTCACCTTTGATGTTGCCACATATATTAAGTGCACTCAATAATGTTGACTCTTCTTTGCAAGCTCCATCATTCTTGTTCTTTCTGTGAGGACAATCTGGTCTCTTATGTCCAGGTTCTTTGCATTCATAACATATTACCCGTTTCCTAGCTTTTGACGTGGAAGGCTTTTGTTTCTGACTATACCGTGAGCTTAAGGCAGACCCATCTTCAGAATTACTTCGTGTAAACTCATTTAATAACTTGGACTTGACCAATTCAGTACTCACTATTATATTGGAATTTTCCATAGCCATGATTAAAGGATTGTAGTGCGGAGTAAGACCTCCTAATAATATAGCAGCCAATGAAACATCTTCGATTGTTTTGCCAATTTCGTCTAAATCCTGCGCTGTGGACATGATGGCGTTTATATAACTTTCGACATCATCGAAATCCGCAAGCGAGTAACGATAGAGCCTACGCTCTAGAGCTAACCTGCGTCCCATTCCCTTATCTTCGTACGCAGAAGACAACGCTTCCCAAGCTTCTTTAGGAGATTTGCAAGCCCTTACATGAGTAATCGCTGAACCATCTAATGTTAGACATATCTTTGATAAAGCTAATTCCTTTTCTCTCTCGGTACCTTTATCTTCAATGGTCTTCCAAAGATTTTCATGTTTTAAATACATTCTTATCTTAAACTTCCATGTCGAATAACCATCGCGACAATTTAGGACTTTGATCGATCCTAACGATGAAAGTGAAGATGAAGTACTACTATCCGCATCACCGCCGGTCATCTCTGAAACTTATATGTTTTCGCTTATCCTATTTAATTTTACTAAATCAGAACAGAGCTTCGTGCTGATAACGTTTTGAAGTAAAATTAAATAAAATGTACTTTGTGATGACAGTGATATTTTTATTTATACAATCTATCAAAAAAACTAAAAAACAAAACAATTATAACAATTTTGATTATACAGGTCTGCACTTACAACAGTGTGCTTATGTCGATTGACCATTTTGTTGAAATAGAAATTGGATTGGGAAATGTTTTCTTTTAAGTTTTAACCCATCTGGGATCTTTTGTGATATTTTAGGGGATGATCAATAAAGAGGCTATACATAATTTTAAACGTTTTTGCATGCTATTGTGCCTTTCTGACCACTGATCATTCTTTTAAAGCTGAAATTTATGCTAGAACTCTTGTTTAACTATAATTTACTCCTTTAAATTATTAAGGGTCGTAAAAAATCTAAGGGGTAGTCATACATGGTCAAAAATTGGTTAATTAAAAAAGTTAGTGGGTGGTAAAACATGGCCAATAGGTGGTCAAACGTATACCGCTTCTAAAACTAAAATTTTCGAATTTCGGATGGGGGAAGGGGGTGGTCAGCTTCACAGAGCTGTTTGAGACGCGGTGACATTTATTTACAGATAAATGGGTCTTAAGGTAAAGTGACAAAAAATTTAATTATCTTACTAGCGAGTTGCTTTTATTAAAAAATACACATTCCAAATTTCTTTAAAATATTTAATTATTTTATTTTGTAGTATGTCTGAGAAAAGGCTAGATTTTGAAAAATTTTAATTTTGATTATTTTTGAATGGATTATCAAGTAAAGACATACATCTCATTGAAAGAAATTTGTAGCATAATAATGGAGGAATAAAAGTAACCGCTAATTCCGATATCGAGCCATTAGTTAAATTTTAGTTAATTTATGCCAAAATATTACTTTTTTTAAAGAGGATATTGACACCAAATTTATGGCAAATTTTAAATTTTGATTTTAAACTTTTATCTTTATCTTGGTAATTCATGTTCCCATATCAAAATTCATCAATTAATAAGTGCTCTATAAGGTAGAGCATTGACGGCAAACTAACACCCTGTACATATTCCACAGATTTAAGCAACAGCATACGGCTCCTTCAAACGAACACAGTGTTATTTGTCTAATTAATAGGTGTTATATTTTTTGACGAAAACAAAACATGTGCAAAGAAAAGAAAAATTACAATAAAAATTACATACTTTTCCCAGACAGTAGAACTTTCACTCAGGTCCTTATCAGACATAGAATTTCCATTCCACTCATTACCCCTACAACAGATAATACAAAGCTATTGTTTGTTAACGTTTTTTTTTTTTAGACAAAAGTTGTTTTTCACTGATTTTGTCCCCGATAATACTAGAAAACTCGTCGAGATTTAGAAACAGCGCACATTACAGACTTTTGACCGGCCATTCAAGTATCAAAAAACATTTTTTTTTTTATTTAATCGTATGTTAAACCCAAGTTTTGGAAAATATTCGTATTTGGCATTCGTGACATTTCAAAAAAAAAAAAAATTGTACACGTAAGAAAGACAACATCTGTTGGTCCCTCGTATAATATATTTTGTTTTGAAAACTATTTTCAATTTTAGTAATATATGAATCTCATACAAGATACTCTTTAATTCAATTTTAATTTGTTTAGAATATTTTGGATTAAAATAGGTAAATTCAAGAATAATCAAGAGGACGTATCAGTGAATAACGAAACTGACTCTACAAGTTTCTGCCCTACTTTTAACTCATCAAAAAAATAGATACCAACCTCCTGTTATCTACGTAATTTTGGGTTAAAGGTCCTTTATTGACGTCTACACCCATGGAGTTGATGTCCAAAGCCGCGTAGGCCTTCCTGCTGGCATTGGTAGTTATAGATCCTTTCACTCCATGTCCCATATTGCAGATCTCGTCGAGTTCCTGATAAATATTCTCGTAAAGGTTATCGGTGTTTGAATTTAAAGCATCGTCGAGACGATTGGAGGGTCCTAAGCGGTAATTCGGGTTCTCATAACTTAGGAGGCCATTTTCTGAAAAGATAGGTTAGTGAAAATATTTGAATCAAGATTTTTTTGTTAAAAACCATATCGAAATAAACTGTTACATTTAAAAATAAATAATATTCTCTATAATTCGACCCCTTACAAGTGAATCCCTTAAAGAAGAGCTTGTGCGCGGAAGGGCCGGTTATTATTAATATTTGCCGTGGTGTTTCGTCAGGTTAACGAAAACATAATCTTAAAGGAAATTCAAGCGACTCTTGAGGAACTAAACATTCCCTATAAGGTATGGGGAATTCGTTCCCAAAAAACGCAGGAATTTACTTCGTTCATTAGGGTGTTGACACCTTCAGGGTCACATTATTTGTATTTAATCCGCGAGGGTTTCGGCATATTCGGCCCCTGTGTAAGCCCTCCAACCAAAACTCCCTGCCTCCTATCGTTAAATATTTCAACTAGTGCACCGGCCTTAGACATTCGGCTTCAGAATATCCAAATCACGGGCTGCATCATATGATTATAAAAATAAGCAAATTGCAAATATTTTAAAGATGCAAAAGCTCGTAAGTCAAATTATTATTAGTATGAAAACTATGGGGCGGTGCATAATTATCAGGCGTTTTATAAAAAAACTTTATTTATATGAAGGCAAAATTTTATTTATATTTAAAGAAAAACATAAAAATTTTCTTTCTGATCAAAGATCGGTAAGAAAAATGAGTGAAGAAACAAAGAAAATATTGTCGAATAAACAAAGGAAATCCAGAGAAATCGAAAGATTAAAAAAATATGATTCAGAATCTTACAATTTATTATGACTGAGCTGTTCCTCTCAAACTATTATTGTCAGGGTCAAAATCTGACCCCTCAAAATATCAATCATCTTCAGATGACGACTTTATCAATCCAAACTTACCATCTTCCTCAAAGAACACTCAAATGAGAAAAAGTTACCTACGTTAGGTCTTGTATGCGATAAATATGGTATATCTGATCGATCAGCTGCTGCAATTGCTAGTGCAGTATTGAAAGATGTAGGAATAATTACCACAGAAGATTCGTCAAAAATAGTTGACAAAAATAAATTGAGAAGAGAGCGAAAGAAATCTATAATTACCGCAAGGAAGGAGTTTGGAAGTGATAAGAGAAGAATAAGAAGTCTGTATTTTGATGGAAAAAAGTACAAAAATTTACTGCAAGAGAAGAAAAACGGTAGATTATACAATATACGTCACTTATCAATGAACCTAAATCTATCTGTATTGGCCACGTAACTCCAACTACAAGGACGGCAAAATCAATTGGAAAAGCAACATTGAACTTTTTTGCTAAAAACAATTTGGAACTAGATGATTTGGCGGCTGTGGGTTGCGACGGTACTGTTGTTAACACCGGTAATAAAAATGGGAGACTAAATTGAAACGTACCATTGTATATTTGCTAACTCAACTCCAACGAATTGCCATTAAGACATTTATTCCAATATTTAGATGACAGCAAGTGGAATCTCGTCAATATTCTGATGAAATCGGAAAGCCTTTGGAAAAATGTGAGTTACCAAATATAACTGTAATGTCTAGAGATTTAAGTTCTGATTAATCATATTTATATGACATTTGCAATGCAATATTAAGCGGCAATTTCTCATCAAATTAAGCACACCGTAATCCTGAGAAATTAGCGCACTCTAGATGGTCGTGTTCTTCGGCTCTATCAAGCCATACGGATATGGCCGGATTCATAATTAAAGTGTATGTCCCAATGTGGTTTAATATTAAACTAAATTTCAGTTCTACTAGTGGTAGTTTGTATGTATTTAAAACGATTGAACTGTCACGGTATTTAAGAGATGATTTAAAAGTATTGTAGATACGGTAATCCAAAAAACGCGTATTTTATACACTCCAAAAACATTATTTTGTGTATGCTAACAGACACTCGTGAATGGGTTCGGGAATTGAGAAACAGTAGAGCGCTGAAAATGTGGATTTAGAAATTTTAAAAAATTACGAAAAGTAAGCAAATCGCAAGTTTTGTATTGGAAATTTAATTTTTATATTTCTTAAAAATATGCCTATTTCGGCCCAACCTACTGTACCGGGTGAGTAGTGCTTGTCTGCTATCCGTATACATGTTCCTTCCAGTAATATCGTTCCTGGTAACTTCTGGGAATCCCTGTGCGCACAATTTGAACTCCACAGCCCAGTTTATGTTTGAGGATCTGGATTATATTCCATATCCTGCGCCTTGTTTTATTTTAGAACCGTGTGTAAATATGAATCGTAACTACCACTTTCGGCTCTTCGATTTGTTCCGTTATAACTTCATACAACTTATGGAAAATATATCTCGGTGAGATGGGGTCCATGTTGGCTTGAAGCAGTGGCAGCGCGTTATTTAAAATTTTCAAGAACTTTTTTTATTGTAGAAATGTGCTTCATCAGGAATTAAAATCGACCAGTCCGAGCATTTTCTCATAGTTTATAGTACATAAGTTAATAGTGGGTTAAAACTATGTTAATTTGATTTTTATCCAAGAGGTTTCAATTGAAATTAAAGCTTGTTTCCCCAATTACAGTAGTTATTCTATATTAATTGGAAAATTTCTTGAATTTAAAGGCTTTTCCATGACTAATTTACCAAATTTCGAACTCTTTTTTTGGCGTGAAAACTGTTACTTACATTACAAAAAATGAATTTTATAGTAGACATATTCACATATTTCGGAATAATTTTCAAAATATTTCGTATTAGACCAAAAAGAGGAATTATTATTGATAGTCTTGTTTTGGTTGTTTCATGAACTAATTCAGAATCAGTGAATCACATTCGTTCAGCTCAATAGGTTGATTTTTATCGCGACGTAATCTTGAAAAATGAATTCATCAACTGTATTTGAGAACTAGAATTTACGGTTCTGTTTGAACCAAAACAAACCCATTAATACGTTAAATCATACTAATACGCTAAATTAGCAATGACGTAATTTTAGTTTCACTGACAATAATTAAAGTGACGGTATTTTTTATGAGTGCGTTTTGTTAGTTTTGTTCACCTAAATTATATTGTTTTTAAACTTTTATAAATATATTTCTAGAGTAAGTAGACAACATGCATCAAGTATATAAACATTTAGCAACCAATTACATACTTTTAAACTACTTTTTTCTACGTTCATGCAAAAAACAAAACTTTATTGAACTATATTTAGTGAAAAAACTGGTTCTTTATTGCACTAGTGCAATAAAAATTTTATTGCACTCATCTGTCATTTTACTACAGCGTTTTATGATCATGACAAACATAAATATTCAAATCAACGCCAAATATTTAGTCCACTTTCATTTTCTGTGATATTGTATTACGTTTTAAAAACAATTGCATGTTTTATATTATTTTCAATCATTTAATAAATAAATTAATAAAAAATGTATTTTCTTAACATAGTTATAGTACTTTTTCAATGCTAATCGATGCTAATTATTAGTTATTAAATGTTGCTATTAAATTACGCTTTTTATTCTTCTGCACTTAGTGTCGCCAAAATAAAAAAATTTTTTGGTTTTTGCATGAACGTAGAAAAAATATTGTATGCAACTCGTGCAAAAAGTGTTTATTGCACTCGATGTGTAGACAATTTCACGTCGCGTGCAATAAACACTTACTTTTGCACTTGTTGCATAAATAACTATTCATGACCTGCAAATAAATTAAAAAAAAATAAAAACAGTAAAAACATATATGTCAAATATTGTTAAAAGTTCGGTTAGAATTAACTGTCAATAGAACCAAAATTACGTCACAATTTTTTGGCGTATTAATGTCAATACTACCTGTTATTATCTGTACTAAACTAAAAACAAAAAAGTGCTACACGTTCTATACGATGAAAACGTGCATTTCTACGCCAAAAACATAAATTAAGCAATGTTTTCGTTACCGAGAAAAATGTCCTCATCATCGTGAACAGCTTGCGCAGTAATTGCAGCCATTCCACGAACTAGAGTTAGCAGAGCGCAGTAGGGACTAGGATTTGCCGAAAGAAAAACGCTATTCAAATGCAAACCTATGGGAGCTCTGTGGAACTCTCCACACAACATCCCAATCTCAAAAATTCGTTCCTACCTGAAACAAAAAGAAAACACGTTTAAAATTATTATATTTTTTTGCAATAGAAGAAATTTTGTTTCAATACATCATTTTAGAGATGATGTAATTAGACATTTCAATGACCTGTCAAGTGGGAACTGACAGTTTAGATATGGCAAACCTGCGGACCCACAGATTTGGATAGAGGAGATAGGAAAAGGCCATTTTCCCGGTGTTTCAAAATAATCGTACCATGTAGACCGCCATGTTTGCAATTTAAGCGTACCACGCACATGCGCGTAGTGTTTCGACAAAAGTGTCATTTATGTCAACTAGTCTTGTTTTTTTTTTTCGAAATTCACTATTTTAGAGAATTTAAAAGAAAGTTTTTACTAGAGACAATAAAATGGGAAAGACTTGCTTTGTTTTTGGTTTCTTTTAGTTTTGAACGACCCATTTGCACTTCAACAACAATGTTTCTATTAAATTTTCTCTACACAAATTTATTCATGGCTTTATTTCGATGTATTATCCACGAATTGGACAACGATTCGGAAAGTGTATAATTCGATATATTTCGTCAGTTCCTACCATGTTGCTATTATTATACATGCTTATGGCATCGGCATTTTTACATTTATTTGTTTTTTTTTTATCAGCTGCAGAATATCTACGAGCAGATTTTTTTGGAGCGACCCCATATGGATTAGATACAAATTGAACCGTTGCGTTATCTTTACACTTTATTATGATAATGTCGTTAGAAGTATTCACTTAGGATTTCGATGTGTTTCTAACTTTTGTATTCATTGATTGTTTTTTTTTTTATAAAAGACAATTTTCTATTATGTTTTGTCGCACATTACCTTTTCAACCAAAGCGTAACCAGATCTTTTTCTGAATAAAGGCAAACCTTTAAAAAAAATGTAAATACAAAATTATACTTTCTATTGGAATTCTTTCTGCAAATGACACTACTGGTGCTCTCAAAACCATTTCTTCATTGTCCGACATGGTACTTTTACCTTAATAGGGTTCCGTATCTACCCATTATTTTTTTTTTTGATATATGTTGATATATATTACCACCAAAAATACGCAAAAAAACAAAAAATTGGTCTTAGCCAACCAAAAGAATTTTTTTTCAGGGGTGGGTGAATGGCGAGGGGACTTACCTAAACAATTATTTAAGTTTATTATTTTTGCGACATACATAGGTACATATCTTTTCTTCAATTAAAACCTAAATTAGTTTGGCCAAGAATGTGATAATCAACAATATTTGAGATAGTCATATGAAAATAGTATATTGTGCAACAAGTGCAGAAAGTAACCAATTCCACACGAGAAAAAGTGCATACTATTATATATTTTTGAAAAGGCAAAAAAGGCAAATTTTATAGTCTATAAAAAAACAAGTTTGCTTTATAATTCAAAAATAGTTTAAAAAAAAAAATTATATACACCACTGAATTCTACGGAAAAATCTATAAGAATGTTGTTTTACATTTTCGATAAGTTTAAAGATAACGGAGATACGAGGGGTGTCCCAAAATGCAACATTTTCAAAAATGTCCTGTATCTTAAAAACTAAAATGGCTATGAAAATTTTGTTAACGGCATCTTTAGTTTTACGAAGAAGTAGCACAGTGTCGCGAAAACCACAACTCTCTATCTTTAAAAATAACGAAGATATCCGTACAATACAGATCGTCCCATAGCGGCTACAATAAAACGGTGTCCATAATAGACTTCCTTATACCCCCTTTCTAAAAGCCCTATGTACGACCAACTTTTAAGCAATAGGTTAAAAACTGTTAAAGATTTAAGAAAGAACTATTTGTAATTTAATTAACTATGTTTAGATAAACTATTGTTTTACAGTCTTGCTACAAAGAACATGAAACACCCAGTATTTGTATGTATTATCATCTTTATCAGGACAGATCTACTTTCAATTATTTGTAAAATATTGAAAAAAAAAAACTTTTATTTTATTTGTTACGTGCCTCATAAATTCAATCTCTTACCTCTTAACACACGTACTGGAATTAAAACGATCCGGAGCAATTTAGCCAAGAAAACACCCGTTTCCGAACCGTGCGTTCCGATAAAATTGGAAGAAAACGTCTAATTTCGACAATTCCCAAAACTGCTATTAACGATATTGCGTCGGGGTCGGGAAGTCCTGTGAAGCCGAAAGGCGTCGAAACTTGCTAACGTCTCCACACAGACTCGAAAGAGGTGGATGGCGTTATTTAGCGGTTAGTATTTCGTACAGTTATGTACTCGCGAAGAAATTGGTCGATTGTGTGCAGTGCCGTAGCCGAAGAAACAATTTAATTACATTTTTTTATGATATAAAAATATTAAGAGCTGGCGACTGAAATACTTTGGTCATTTCATGTTGAGTTCGGGATGTGGACTCTTTATACCCCTTTCACTCCGTATCTAACTTCACATCATTGATTTACAATGATTTAGCATGGACTGAAGTTAGTTATGGAGTGAAAAGAGTAAAAGAAGTCCACATCTCCTACTCAACATCGTATTTATGAAAATTAATATACAAACTAAAAAGAATGATCTTTAATTTTAGTATTTATATAGTAAAAATTATGTAGGTACTCATTTATCATCAATAAAATTGACATAAAGTATATTTATCTGATTGCCACAATAACCTCATTTACCGTCACATACCATGACTGACAAAGACAGAAATCGAGTCACGTCCGTGATAACAACGAACGCCTCTGGATTAAATCTAAACTGACATTAAAAAATAAGAAGAATTGTACGACATACGTGCAATGTTCCCTCTCTATATTTTCGCTGACTGCACGATACAAAAGTATGTGGGAGCAAAAATGTTTAAAACGTATGTAAAAGTGTGTAAGTGGTGGAGGGGGGTCCTGTGCCCGTGTTTGAAGTCAATTTTTTTAATATAGTCAGAGACAACAGAGACGTGTAACTTAATAGGAAAATTTGTTCGGTGGTCCATTTAAATTACATATATGACTTTCTTTCTCTTTTACATCGATATTTACATATATTTATCTTTCTCCAATAAAACAACCAAAAATTGAATCACAAAAGGGCAGAATTTTAAATCAGGATGCATTGGAAAATAAATTTGGAGACATCAGGTAGGTTTTGGATTTTAGAGAGAGATCAATCTCAAGAAAAGTTAATTTATCCTGCAGAACAACCAGTAGTTTAAGTAGGATCTGCTATAACTTTATTAGAAGATTTCCTTGATAATAAATTGTAATATACCAATTGTTTCAAATGAAATTGAAAAAGAGTTAAATTCGAAATTAGATTTTTCATGGGTAAAATGTTATATTCAATCAAACATCGTAAGGGAATCTATAATTAAGGGAGTATGGAAAAAAGGTATACTCTGATAAGGGACAACGCCAAAAAAAATTACAAAAATGTATTCATCTTTAAATAGTGTTTATTATTATTTGCTATGTTTGAAAAGTACCTCCTACTGCAGAACAGATCGAATAGATTAGACGACTAGTTGGAGAAGGTCCACCTAGTCACCAAATTAGGAGACTAGGAAAACTTTTACATGACTGGGGACACAACAGGAATGCACACACACAAGATACACAAACAGACGACATAACAGGAGTAAGCCTTCAACAACGTCCTGTTTAAATGATAGTATGTCATCCTTTATTCCCTTTTAGAAGGCATGGCATGTACGAGTAAATCTATTGATCTTGACCCTAAGAGGTCAAGCGGAATGGGTCTAGCAGGTTTCGATCCAGTTTACAGGATGGGGACTTACTCGACTCGGGCTTTATACATTTGTGTGTGTATGTATGTGTTTGTTTCGTTTCCATGGTTTCTATTAAAATAAACAGTCATAACATATCGATACCTTTTTGACAGACTAATGTAAGCGACATTTGTTCAAATGGCACTTATGATAGTCTGGCAAAAAAGTATCGATATACTCTATACTTTATAAAATATTTGTTACATTATTTTTTAAATATATTATGAATGTATAACAACTGTGACTTTCTTTGTAATTTGTCACAAAATGATACGAGGTATTTTCTAAACGTAGCAATTGTAGTTTGTTTTTCTGTACTTTACAAAAATATAATTTATAGAAAAAGAGTGTGGTGTATTATTTTTCCAAGTTTAAATATTTAATAATCAATAGAATTTTTAAGTTTTTTTAGCGAAATTTACAAGAGTAATAAAAACTGTTCACTGCTTATATTAAACTGATTAAAACTTCCTTTATCAAAATGATTATTTGTATGATAAAAAATATGATGTTATTGGAAGCTTTTATATTTTTTAATATACAGTGAATATAGTTTTTGTTTCTCCTGTAAATTTTTATAGAAAAAAATATTTATTTCTGATACATTGAATTACACGTCTCGCTGGGTTGTCTCTGATATAGTCTTTAAGCAAGCGTCTTGAATCAGAGACAACTTTGATGCAGGAATAAAAATTGATCCGCAGTTTTGCCAAGTTGTGCGAAATTTATAACGCACAATGATAAATCGCAAATTATGAGTATTAGTAACTAAAAACATGAAATGTAAATACAAAATTTTATGCACAGTGAGAAATCAATTATTTAAACATGAAATTTACATTTTTTGTAGCATTATAGTGGAAAAAATTTTCCGAGAATTTTAGCGTATGGACACTCATTTTCAGTAATAATTTAATGAAAATCGAGTGTATTTATTTTAGGCCATTTAAGGGGTAAAAATTCAATGGAACTCTCGTTAAAAAAATTTGGAGGAGTTAGGTCCATTAGAAAAGTAGGTAGGTAGGTAAGTAACTAATGCTTGAAAACTGTTTTTTTCTGCACTTGATTTCTTGATTAATATAAATATATATAATTATTAAATGTCCTAGATACGTGCCTATACCTATTTTTTTCGTTGTTTCGTTTCTGTAACAATTCCTTTATATTTAACGGCCTTTAAAAATATTTTCTTCTTTACTTCTGTCATTATTTAAA